TGTGTGTGAGAGAGAGAGAAGTAGGGGACAACAAATGAAGAGAGAGTGAATGTTTTATATATACTACAAATATATATAGTATATATACTATATATATACTACAAAGTACAAATCTTCTATCCCTATATACTCTATGTAGTATAGTGTTTATACACTCACTGTAATAGGAGCAATGTACACTTGCTCATTCACGCAATCCAATCAGCCAATCACCCAGAAAACTCTTAAGAAAGTAAGATCAAGGAACAAATATGGAAGGTAAATGGCCAAAATGGCAACCCCCATTAAAATAACAGCAATAATTGGAATAATTGGAATAATTCATTCATTCATTCATTCATTCATCTTAAGTAACCGCTTAATTTGGTTTAGCTATACTCAAACTGTGCAAATTTAATTTTGCCTAAAACGTCTCTTTAAAAATAAACACATTTTACCCCTTCAGTGTGAAAACAAGTAGTGTACATTTCCAATTATTACATAATTATTTTTTAAAAATAGCTGCATTGTTCTAGGGGCCTCTGCTTCAGTGCAGTTTACACACTTTTTTTTTCCTCCAAAGAGGGAAGTTAATGACACAGTACAACTGAAGGTATTTACTGAGAAATATAGGCAGGAAGGAAGTGCACTGCCCTGCCAAGAGAACTGGCACTCATCTAGGTCACTGCATTGCTATTAACTTACTGTTTCATGGCTTGTAGGTCCACCTTTCTCCTGACTAAGTGCGTTAATGAGTTGTACATGACTCTCCACGTGGCTATCTGCCAGTTTCTAACATCATAGAGATGGATCAGTCACGCTCCTCTCTTTTAGTAATTAGAGATTAGCATCTTGGTGAAGTATGCACACAGGTGATTATGGATTCTTGAGCAGCACTATGTGGCCATACGAATCTGCCATAGGAATCAGTCCTACTTCACAGAAACTTTCCAGCATTTTAATGTAAAACCAGTCTTAACCACATGCATACTTCCAAGTATGGTACAGTATTTGTAGTAGAGTTGGTATGTTGATCCTATATTAATAGGAATAACGTTACGCAGCTTATTAAGGCAATAAAAACGGTGCTGTCATGTCTTGCCCCTCACTGCTGGTGTAAAAGATGACAAACAATATTCTTACTGTATTTCTCGGTGCTCTAGTCATAGTGTAGTTGATACGCAGACTGGCTACATTTAATTTAATCTACACATGCTTAAATGCACATGCGGTTAGTGCTGCTAAAAAAATTCGCCTCATTTTGGATTTTGATCAGTCCAACAGCTCCACCAATGGTTATTGGTTAAAATACATCGAATGGTATGAAGAAGCAAGGCTTGGGCTGATTTCTTTCTAGCCCAGACTGTAGACTCATGCAGCTCATCAGTCATAGTTTTGTCAGGTGACTACACAGAGAGACACTCCACCTAGATTTGAGAAGACGTATGTGAAATGCAGTCGTGTGTAATTAACATGAACAAGATGGATAATTACTCTATCACCCGTTTGCAATGCATTTGGAGGGGGAACTAAAAGTTGACAGACTAAGAACACATTGACCAATAAAAGTACAAATTACACAAAAGGACAGAACCATACATTTAGTGTTTTTTTTGTTTTGATTGAAAGGTTACAACTTTTACATTTATAGCATTTGGCAGACACCCTTATCCAGAGCAACTTACGTTTATGTCATTTTATAAAACTGAGCGTTTGAGGGTTAAGGGCCTTGCTCAAGGGCCCAGCAGTGGTAGCACCAGGATTTGAACTCATTACCTTCCAATCAGTAGCCCAACACCTTAACCACTGAGCTATCACTTTTCTGTTTAGTATGTGTGGTACTCAGAGGGGAAACAGCCTGAACCCAGTACATCATTACAGACCTGAAACACTTAAAAAATTAGAAATCATGAATGCAGCTGATGCAGCTGTGTGTGATAGTTTGCTCTGCATCATTCTTACTATGCCATCAATGAGGCCTGGTGATACAATCCATTGCTAAACCCTAACCCTGTCATTGTCGAGCTACTGCTAGATATTAGATGTTAGCCTCCATCTAATATCATGACCAGTTATCACTAGGAGGGATGAATGCTGGGGATTCTCATTAGTGAAGCAAATCACATTTTCTAAACTTTGACCAGCAAATGTTTTAGATAAGATGAAGTGTCTGCAGGCACTAAACAGATCTTGGAAAAGAGCTGATCTCCTCAATGAAATAACATTCCAGATTGACATTTTTTGCTTCTGGTATTTTGTAGTATTTGAGGAAAGAACATCAAACAAAATCTTCTGCTTGTGAAACTCCGGCGATGAGGGAGCCCTCAATTTGGCTTTCAAGCGTATTTAAGCATCTTAGAAGCAATCTCTTTTTTTTAATAGGTGTAACGAACGAACACATGGTACAGCACACCATTTTAAGCAAAGCTCCATGGGACTTCATTAATCTGCCTCCATTATGGCTGTCTACTCTAATGGCTGAGACTGCGCCTCTCTCTCTCTCCCTCTCTCTCTCACACTTTCCCGGACCGTGACTCCACTGAGTCTGCCCAGTGAAATGGACCGATGATCTCATTAACCATGAGGATCTGTAAGGCTACACACACACACACATGCACACACACACACACACACACAATGAATGGCTCTGTACAGTCACTGCATCAGAATGACCATCCTTTTTGTGGCTTGAACCTAATCTATTTCAAGTGTTTTACATATTATTGGCACTTTGGCCACAGTAATGGAGATGATGCGCTGTAGCTCATCTTCTCGCTGTGTCGTTGTAATGCTCTAATCAATGAAATGTAGACTAGACAGCTCAATATATCATATAGCTGTCCTGGAACTGAGACATAAACATTAAAAGAATAACATTTCACTCTCTGAGAGTTGACTTTTTTTTACAGTCTTGTACAGAAGGCGTACTAAATCTAACAGCTGTCTCATAAATAAATCATAACCATTAAAAAAATCTTTAAAAAAAAGCTGCTGTGTATCACCTTGGCTAACCTACTAAAAACTGTATTAATTATCTGAAGATTATCTTATGTTGCGAACAGCAATCTACTCCATCTTAACAAGATCAGGATAACAGTCCTTCAACAAAGTCAGTGACACCAAATGGCACATTCTCTTTCTTTGCACAAAAAAATATCTATTTCACACGAAGGTCAACAGCTCAACTCCACAATCACGATTCAATAGTGTTTAATCAGGTCATGCAGCGTTCAACTGGCCAGCACCAGAAATGAAATAGCTCTTGAAGGTGACATGCAAATCCTCCACAATCTTCTCTTCTCTTTAATTTGCAGAGCCATTGGAGCGGCCGAGCTGTGACGGGCTCGCCAACGCCGTCACGGTCTGCTGCCTCCAGAGCTAATCCGTCTGGAAGTGGACGTTTTGGTTGAACCAAAGTTTTTATAAAACCATGGAGGTGGATACTCAGTTGAACACAGCGTTGACACAGAAGTGTGAAAGGAAAGAAAGATAAGAAAACACAAAGGGATAAATTAATTGGAGGGAAGAGCTGCCGGACAGCTGATTTACAGGAATAAAAAAGGTTCCCAAAATCTTATGCACAAAGCTTGTATTGAAGTATTTTTCCAGCACTTTCACAGTGGATAATCAGACAGTTTCCATACAACTCATACAAACGTTTTGGCTTAATATACACCACATGACTTTGGCATAAATTAACGAGTTTAAAGAGAAGGCAGAAGCTACATTTCTACCTGGAAAGAGATTAATAACATGGAGAAAATGTTATTATGGAATGAAAAGCAACCAGCTCTTTTGCTTTTCATCAGTGACATGCAGAAAACCTACCACACTGAAAACGAAACCTTCATCGCATTTCTTAGGCTGTGTGAACTCTTTAATGAAAAATCAGCAGGACATTGCCTTTCAAGAATTAAAAGTTGAACTTGTGTCAGAAGTCAATGTGATCCCCCTTTTAAAAGCACTGCACTGCATTTCACTGCATAATTCCATTTAAGATAGAAAAGCAATCAGTGAAAGAATGTGAAATGCAATATTTACTACCATGCTGAAAATCCTGCTTTGCATTGTTCTTACTTCACTAGTTCATCTCTTCAGTGAAAAACAATCAGCAGGAAATTGCATTTTAATTGAACGTAATTCCCTTTAGCATTGCAGTTTACTTTTCTAAGTGCATTGCAGCAGTACCACACTGAAATGTAATCACTGTCCAATCGTAGCCTTATGCCATACTCGAGGGCGTGGCTGTAATCAGAGAAGGGCATGAAAGCGTCATTTTCCATCCATATAAAGAAACACTCTTTATAGACTCACTGTTTCGTCATTCCTCCTGCATTGATCATTATTACTAAACATGATAAAAGTGTTAATATGACTATAAGTACTTACAGCTCATAGCAGGACCTAGGTCTTATCACATTTCTTAGATTTACTTTCAGCCATGTTGTATATTTAGACATCACAAAGGAGGTATTAGTTTACATTCTTAATGTGGATGCTTCAATAAAAAAAGGCAACTCTAAACTAGGCATGTTCTGCTACTCTCTCATCATTACAGGCATCACTGGGTAACCATTTTTTTTTTAACTTATGATTTAAGTTTTTTTTCACCAGTGTAATTGCATTTTGCTCTGGCATGGACTCTGCTCCATATAACAACATGAAACAATACAAGCTAGTTAGCTAACATCTATGATGCATATCTCTCAGCTTTTTATTTATAGTACATTATTTACTAGCATTGCTCAAAAGTGTTACAAGGGCTCTGGAGGCTGTTTTGCACAAATTATTAATATCAAGATGCCAACTTATTGAAAAATATGCAGAAAATATCTAAATGTTTGCCAGTGTGAAAACATCTTGTCACAGATCCCAAATGATAATCATATTCTCATTATCTCTGCTTACAGAATTTGCACAGATGCTCTTTAAAATTCTTGAAGTTGTGTTTTCAAGATTAGAAAGGCACATTTCATATTTTCATGATTTTGCAACCTGTATTGTGTATTATGGAGCTCGGGTCCCTGGAGGACTAGTGGTTAGGCCACGGTACTCTCACCGCTGTGGGCTGGGTTCGATTCCCAGCCAGAGAAGCAACCCCAGCCACTGGGGTTGCATGTAACAGTGTGCTTTTAGTGCCGGTCCCAAGCCTGGATAAAACTGGGGAGCGTTGCATCAGGAAGGGCATGTGGTGTAAAAAGTTGCCAAATCAAATACATGGACCAATGATCCGCTGTGGCAACCCCTAACGGGAGCAGCCAAAAGAGCAACAACAACAGCGTTATGTATTATGTAGCTCACTGAGCCTGCACTGCTATACTAACATCTCTCGATGCAGTTAGATTTTAGCAATTAGCCCTGTGCGCATGGCATATTGTACCTTCTTCAAGTATCAACTGCTTGCTAACATTACACCATTACTGCTAACTATCAGGTTCACTAAAATTGGGTGGAAAACAAACGTTACAGGATGTGGTGGTTACAACAACAACCGAAAATGCTTTCCATAAGCAAACTGAGTCTTGCAAGAAAGAAATTAAAACCTTGACATTAATAAATTGTACCAAACAGTATCCAGAGGCATTGTAGCACTTTCGAGGATTGCAATTAAATGTACTGTAAATTACAAACTGGCCTTAACTAATAAGAATTATATACTATTCAGCTCCTTCCTTCCAGTTAAAACTGTATCTGCTGCTTTACCTTTCTGGAGTCATGTGACACTGTAGATTGACTTTTGGGAAAAGTCTGATTATTCACCTTGAAAGTGCTGGAACATTTTCACCATATGAACCCTGTAGGAAAACTCACTGTGCTCTCCTGTTTTATACACAGAACACAAGTTAATTTCACAACTGTTTTATATTAATTTATTCTAATTTATGTGTTTTAAAACACTGACAAGCGTTCCTGATTGTTTATTCTCTTTTTTCCCTTCCAATTCTGCCCACATGGGGATAGAGGACATAAAAAAACCTGCTGAAAAAAGCACGGGTGTGACGGAAAGCAAAACAAACTGAAACAAAGACATTACTCTGTGATTGCGTGTATATGCACACTGTAATAAGTCGGAGATGCATGAGCAGGAAATTAGCCGAGGAAAATGAGCAGGCTTCGTGAACTAACATTAGGAAAAGCTGATCCTCCCTCCTGCTGTGTGATTGTACTTTGTACTTTCTGCAAATTGTGCATTAATGCAACCACGCATGACCCTTAAAGTTTTGTCAGCACTAAGCCTGAACAGCTGATGACTTCAGGTAAACAAATGAGTTGCGATAAGGACCTTCACATTTGCTACAAGTTGAGGAAAGGAAACTAATTTTTTTTTTTTTTTAAACTAAATTCCACGTCACTGCATCTTAAATTATTCCTATATTGATGAAACCTGTTTTAAATAATTTAGTGAGTTTATACGGCTTCACATGAGTCACAGCACCGCTTCTAATACTGAGCTGAAGGAAAGGGAAAAATAATAAATTATGAATTTACTTTTAGAATTTTGCTCTGCCGACTTTCCTACCAATCACACGTGTATGTACGTGTAAGGAGGAGCAAAAAGACTCTCATCTGAGACGAAAGAGTCCTCTTTAATCAGAAGTTACTGTGAGAAATGTTTTTGAATCATTTCTAGTGGTGAGTCTCTTGAAACTGTCACACTGCTATCTCTACAGCACATCTGTGCTCAATTCACTCTTCCCAAAAGCATGATAATATCATCTAAACTGTTACAGAAAATGTTAAATTGTTCACAGCACTAGCTCAATCATAACAATGATCTCTATTCTGGAAAGTTTAGACAAAATGCAGACAAGTTCACTTTCTACAACAGTAGTTCTGACCGCTGTGCATATCGCAGGTTTATATTAACAACACTCTTTATAATACGGTAACGTTTCTATAGTAACAGCTCATTCACAGGGCTTGTATTACAGATGCTCCACATAATGTATGACTATTAACAAACAAATTAAAAACGTTACTGTTGAACAAAGCGAATGTAGAATTGTTGAGATGGAGTTTTCTGGAAGGAGATATTTAGTTAACGTTCATGGAAGGAGTCTCCAGTGTCAGAGGTTTGTAACAGTCAGTAAGTCTTCTGCCATGGGAAAGTCTTCAGGACTGAGCACTTCTCGCTTTCAGTTTTCAAGATAAAATGAGAAACTTTTTTTTTGGTCTTATTAACTTATTAGCAAGAGAGAAAAAAAAGATAGCTGTTATAACTAAGTGATAACAAGAACTGTGGCTGTTCCACAACATCAAATGTAACTATAAAGGGATAAAAATGTAAACGTTGATGAACTGCTGTGGTATAAAAGGAATAAACACTTCGGGACGTGCAGTTCTATGAAAATAATAAACTTCAGAGTGGTAACAGTAACTCATCACTGTAAATGATTATTTTCCTATAACAGCACATCTGGTTGCTTTTAATTCCTTACTTAAACCATACACAGTGCAGTTATAAATGGTGGCATGTTTTGCATACTCGTTGTTAGACACAATAAAAGCTACTTGTCACACACCTCTACAAGCTATTGTCTCTGTAATTAAGTGAGTGGATGTGGAATGACTGCAAATAATGGGCTAGTAAAGGTACCTGTTAATCATCATCAAAAATCAATACCATAATTTCACCCACACTCTGTGTGTGTGTGTGTATGTGTTTGTGTGTGGACTGATGCATAAAATTATTAGTAACACATGCTCAGTGGAAAAAAAGCATAAATCAAGCATTTGTGCACAGAGAGGAAGTATTAATTAAGCTAAATAAGATGCCTGCTTTCCTTACAGCAGGTTTCTCTCTGCCTGCACTGTCACAGAGCTCTGTTTAATGCCAGCGCCAAGATATCTGCAGACTGCACAAAGCTAATAAATTCATTTCCCTTTAACAATAAAATCTGAAAACTTCTCGCTTGTCTTGGTCTCTCAGTATTGCAGAACTGAAGTCATTCTTCTGATCATGCTCCGTGAAGGCTAAACTTACACTCATTACACCTGCTCTTTCATGCAGTTATCCAATCAGCCAATCACATGGCAACAATGCAATGCATAAAATCATACACATACAGGTCAAGAGCCATCAAACATCAGAATGGGGAGAAACATGATCTTAGTGACTTTGGGATGTTTGTTGGTGCCAGATGGGCTGGTTTGTGTATTTCAGAAACTGCTGAACTCCTGGGATTTTCTAGAGTTTTCTCTAAACTTTCTAGAGTTTACACAGAATGGTGTGAAAAACAAAAAACATCCAGTGAGCAGCAGTTCTGTGTGTGGAAACGTCTTGTTGATGAGAGACGTCAGAGGAGAATGGACAGACTGGTTCGAGCTGACAGGAACGCTACGGTAACTCAAATAAGCACTCTTTACAACCGTGGCGAGCAGAAAAGCAACTCAGAACACACAGCACACCGAACCTTGAGGCAGATGGGCAATATCTGTATTTGTATCTGTTTATAACACATTACCTGTTCATTGCAAATAACGTATTTGTATTCGGTTACATCCCTGGCATACAAGTAGTCGTCTCTCCTTCTCACCTGGAATGACCTCCAAGATCCTAACCAGTCTGGCTTCAGTGGTGCACTTCACATGAAGCTTCATTCCGATAGATCAACTAAACTAATTGACCTTTTGAAATGGTCATTCACAAGACTCTTCCTTCCATCCTCGTGGGCCTTGGAATTAGTGGTAGAGCATGGCAGTGGTTTCTTATCTTGAGGGACAGTTATATCAGGTGATATGGAGGGAAAACTCATCTACTTCATGCAGTCTCTTCACTGGTGTCCCACAAGGCTGAGTGCTCGGTCCACTTCTATTTGCACTATATAATGTTCATAATATTTGAAATGTTAGATTATTTATAAACTAAATCTGCTATGATCATTGGCAGATGTCCTTAAGAATTCTTTCTGAGGACCCTGTTTCATACAACCACTAACAGTCTAAGTCTCTTAATTATAAATAAATAGCTACTTTCTATATATTCAGTGGTTTCTGAATTTTACCACAAAAACAACAAATCAGTATTAAGGAAATGGAAAATGTACTATTTGTCTAGCAGATGAAACCTGCCTGTTCATCATTCACTTTAAAATTGTGATGACTTTATGGCAATTTTTTTTAACAACATGCATACCTCAGCATGAGTCTGATTATGGTGTAAAATCAACTGTCCTTTCCTGCTATTCACATCTACGGCTGCATAATAATCAACATATAAATGCAAAATATAATCCCACTTCAATATTGCTTAGTACCTGTTCACCTTTAGCTCTCCTGGAGTTCATTTCCTCTAGTGGTGCTCCGAGGGATTTTAGTAGACTTTGATTCTTCCTCTTCTCTCCCTTGTCTTATTGCACTAATCCTATTGTTGATACCATTTGCTCTGTGACTCTCGTTAATACGGTAGTGAAGAACTTCCTTCATCCTTACTCATCTGCAACCTGACCTTCTCCTGCCTGCTCATAGGCCTTTGTGTTAATCTCATTATGATGGAGGGCTCCTTTCACACTAAAAAGGGTAACTGTGACCAGAAAAACAAACATTTAAGCATTTAACGTTAATATATTATAAAAAAAAAAGTTTACACACCCCTGTTAAAATGGCAGGTTTTTGTGATATAAAAAATTAAACAAAGATAAATCATATCAGATCTTTTTTCACCTTTAATGTGATTTAGCAACTAACAAAATTCAAGTTCAAAATAAACAGAAATGTTTTAGGGAAAAAAGAAAAAGAAAAAAAAAAACATACAATAACCTGGTTGCATAAGTGTGCACACCCCTTTAACTAATACTATGTTAAAGCACCTTTTGTGCATAATACAGTACTCAGTCTTTTTGGGTAAGAGTCTACCAACTTAACACATCTTGATCTGGCATTTTTATCCCACTCTTCCTTGTAGCATGCTCCAGATGCTCCTGTGCACAGCCCTGTTCAAGTCATCCCACAGGTTTTCGATAGGATTTAGCCATTCCAAAACCTTAATCTTTTTCTGAAGCCATTCCTTTGTTGACTTGGATTCCTGTTGGCTTGTTATCATGCTGGGAAGTCTAACAGAGGCCTATAGGAGCTATCCATGATTCCCTCTATC